CAAAAAATTTATTTCTTCAGGTCGAATTACAACACTATCTATTGCGACGAATATGTACAGAAATTATTCCGGCGCTCTCGACTGTCTTCACTGGATGAATGAATCCATTACCTACGGTCGCCTCTATTTAAACCCATAGTCTCTGATCGAGATCCTTCACGAACATCCATCGCGACTCCGCTTCGAGACTCCCCTGGACGCCGCTTCGAGACGCTCCAGACCTGTCTTTATGCGCCCGCCTCCCGGCCGTCAACAGCGATGATTCACCCATCAGCGCCGTGCGTACGTCCAGAAGGCTCTCGACCGCCATAGGCGTCGTACTGGGGCGGCGTAAGGGTGTATTTCGTAACAATATGGAAAAATTGATAAAGCGAAAAATTGAATAATCAAAACATCGAAACATCCAAATCTCAATAAATTGAGATCTCAAAAAATTTAAAAATTCGGAAATTTGAAGAATTAAAATATAGAACTGAAAACTCGAGAAACCGAAAAATCTAGAAATTTAAAAATTGAAATATGGAAAACTTGAAAAATGAGAAATTGAAACATAAAATAATCGAAAAATTGAAAAATACAAAGTATAAAAAACAAAAAACTGAAAATCCAAAAATAAAAAATAGAAAAATCTAGAAGTCAAAAAATCAAAGAATCGAAGTGTTGAAAAATATCAAAACTGAAAGAAATATCCAAAAATTGAGAAATCGAAAAACCAATAAAGCGAAGTCGAAAAATCGAAGAATTCAAGAACTGAAAAATCGACACTTTGAGAACTGAAAATCAAAAATAGATTAATTGATAAATCAGAAAACTGAAAATTTAACGCAAAAATTTGAAAAATCGAAAAATCTAAAATTTAAAACATTGGATAATTAAAATATCGCAAAATTGAAGAAAAGAGAAATCTAATTCAATGTGAAAAATTGAAAAATCGGGACATTGAAAAATTGGAAAATCCAGAAATTGAAAAGCTCAAAAGAAAAAAATCGAAAAATAAATTAAAAATGGACATTCGAAAATTTAAAAATTCCGAAAATTGAAATATAGAAGAACTGAAAACTCAAAAAATCGAAAAAAAATAATGATTTAAAAATTGAAAAGTAGAGATGTACCGACTATAGTCGACCGACTGTTCGGCTTTGCTAAAACAGGTTAAAATTGGTTTAATCGACCGAAAATTGGTGTCAAAGTGTAGATAATCTTCCGCTAGTTACGATTCTGAAATCGCCGTCACGATATCTGGTCCAATAAACACGCAAAGTGAATTCAAAATTTCCAAAAAAGTGGTTAAAATTGGTTAAAGTATTGTATAAACTGACCCTAAGTTATGTTATTCTTTATTACATTTGTTACTACAAAAAATTAAATGTTAAAATTATCCAAAAAATTTAACATAATTTTTGGAAAACAAAGGAACTTTAGTTATTCCTTTTATTAAAATAAAACAAATTTTTAAGGTAGTCAGAGAAATAGAAAAAAAAAACACTGTCTTTTGCATTTATAAACCGGTTTTAGCAAAGCGGAACTGTCGGCCGACTATAGTCGGTACATCTCTATTGAAAAGTTAAAATTGAGAAATCGAAAAACTAAAAAATCACAAAATTGAACGAAATATCCAAAAATTAGGAAATTAAAAAAATTGGGAAACAGAGAAGTCAAAAAAACAGAGTCGAAAAATCGCAAACTTAAAAAATCGAAAAATTGAAAAATCAAAAACCTGTGAATAATCGAAAAATTGAAGAACTGAAGAACTGAAAAATCGAAACTTTAGGAAGTGGAGAAATGGGAATATAAAAAAATTGATTAATTGAGAAATCCGAAAGCTAAAAATTCAGAAACGTCAAAATTTGAAAAATAAAAAAATATTGAAGAACTGAAAAATCGAAAAATCTCAAATTTAAAACATTGAAAAGTTAAAATATCCTAAAACTGAAAAATGGAGAAATCCAAACATCAAAAAATCAAAAAAATAAAAATTCGAAAATCTAAAATTTAAAAATCGAAAAACTGAAAAATCAACGAATCGAGAAGTCGAAAATTTAAAAAATTGGAAAATTGAAAACTTAAATATGGAAAAATTGATAAAGCGAGAGATTGAATAATCAAAACATCGAAACATCCAAATCTCAATAAATTGAGATCTCAAAAAATTTAAAAATTCGGAAATTTGAAGAATTAAAATATAGAACTGGAAACTCGAGAAACCGAAAAATCTAGAAATTTAAAAATTAAAATATGGAAAAGTTGAAAAATGAGAAATTGAAACATAAAACCATCGAAAAATTGTAAAATCCAAAGTATAAAAAACAAAAAACTGAAAATCCAAAAATAAAAAATAGAAAAATCTAGAAGTCAAAAAATCAAAGAATCCAAGTGTTGAAAAATATCAAAACTGAAAGAAATATCCAAAAATTGAGAAATCGAAGAACCAATAAAGCGAAGTCGAAAAATCGAAGAATTGAAGAACTGAAAAATCGAAACGTCGAGAACTGGGAAAATCAAAAATAGATTAATTGAGAAATCAGAAAACTGAAAATTTAACGCAAAAATTTGAAAAATCGAAAAATCTAAAATTTAAAACATTGAATAATTAAAATATCGCAAAATTGAAGAATCGAGAAATCTAATTCAATGTGAAAAATTGAAAAATCGGGACAGTGAAAAATTGGAAAATCCAGAAATTGAAAAGCTCAAAAGAAAAAAATCGAAAAATAAAAAAAAAATTGGACATTCGAAAATTTAAAAATTCCGAATATTGAAATATAGAATAACTGAAAACTCAAAAAATCGAAAAAAATTAATAAATTAAAAATTGAAAAGTAGAGATGTACCGACTATAGTCGACCGACTGTTCGGCTTTGCTAAACAGGTTAAAATTGGTTTAATCGACCGAAAATTGGTGTCAAAGTGTAGATAATCTTCCGCTAGTTACGATTCTGAAATCGCCGTCACGATATCTGGTCCAATAAACACGCAAAGTGAATTCCAAAAATTTTCCAAAAAAAGTGGTTAAAATTTAACATATTTTTTGGAAAACAAAGGAACTTTAGTTATTCCTTTTATTAAAATAAAACAAATTTTTAAGGTAGTCAGAGAAATAGAAAAAAAAACACAGTGTCTATTGCATTTATAAACCGGTTTTAGCAAAGCGGAACAGTCGGCCGACTATAGTCGGTACATCTCTATCGAAAAGTTAAAATTGAGAAATCGAAAAACTAAAAAATCACAAAATTGAACGAAATATCCAAAAATTAGGGAATTAAAAAAAAATCGAGACTTTGGGAAGTGGAGAAATGGGAATATAAAAAAATAGATTAATTGAGAAATCCGAAAGCTAAAAATTCAGAAACGTCAAAATTTGAAAAATAAAAAAATATTGAAGAACTGAAAAATCGAAAAATCTAAAATTTAAAACATTGAAAAGTTAAAATATCCTAAAACTGAAAAATGGAGAAATCCAAACATCAAAAAAATCAAAAAAATAAAAATTCGAAAATCTAAAATTTAAAAATCGAAAAACTGAAAAATCAACGAATCGAGAAGTCGAAAATTTAAAAAATTGGAAAATTGAAAAATCGGATAAATCAAAAATCGAAACATCGAAAAATCGAAACATTGTAAAATTAAAAAATTGAGACATCGAGAAGTCGAAAAATAAAAAAATTGAGAAACCGAAATAGGCCAAAATCGAAAAATCGAAAACTTAAATATGGAAAAATTGATAAAGCGAGAGATTGAATAACCAAAACATCGAAATATCCAAATCTCAATAAATTGAGATCTCAAACAATTTAAAAATTCGGAAATTTGAAGAATTAAAATATAGAACTGGAAACTCGAGAAACCGAAAAATCTAGAAATTTAAAAATTAAAATATGGAAAAGTTGAAAAATGAGAAATTGAAACATAAAACAATCGAAAAATTGAAAAATCCAAAGTATAAAAAACAAAAAACTGAAAATCCAAAAATAAAAAATAGAAAAATCTAGAAGTCAAAAAATCAAAGAATCGAAGTGTTGAAAAATATCAAAACTGAAAGAAATATCCAAAAATTGAGAAATCGAAGAACCAATAAAGCGAAGTCGAGAAATCGAAGAATTGAAGAACTGAAAAATCGAAACTTTGAGAACCGGGAAAATCAAAAATAGATTAATTGAGAAATCAGAAAACTTAAAATTTAACGCAAAAATTTGAAAAATCGAAAAATCTAAAATTTAAAATATTAAATAATTAAAATATCGCAGAATTGAAGAATCGAAAAATCTAATTCAATGTGAAAAATTGAAAAATCGGGACATTGAAAAATTGGAAAATCCAGAAATTGAAAAGCTCAAAAGAAAAAAATCGAAAAATAAAAAAAAATTGGACATTCGAAAATTTAAAAATTCCGAAAATTGAAATATAGAAGAACTGAAAACTCAAAAAATCGAAAAAAATTAATAAATTAAAAATTGAAAAGTAGAGATGTACCGACTATAGTCGACCGACAGTTCGGCTTTGCTAAAACAGGTTAAAATTGGTTTAATCGACCGAAAATTGGTGTCAAAGTGTAGATAATCTTCCGCTAGTTACGATTTTGAAATCGCCGTCACGATATCTGGTCCAATAAACACGCAAAGTGAATTCAAAATTTCCAAAAATTTTCCAAAAAAGTGGTTAAAATTGGTTAAAGTATTGTATAAACTGACCCTAAATTGTGTTTTTCTATTCTATATTTTTGTACCGAGTTACTACAAAAAATTAAATGTTAAAATTATCCAAAAAATTTAACATATTAACAAACATTTGTTTGCTTGATTAAAAAATTGCGTCTAATAATTCTAATCTAATAAATGAAGTAGAAAAGTGGCAATCCAGCTCAAAGCAAACCTCAATCAAACTACTGACAGACAAAAAACTAAATCATCAAATCAGTTTATCCAACTTAAAGAAAAAATATCAAAGACCACTTTACTATATAAAGATCGTGAATCCCTAATGAAAAATGACATTTGCCACAGGTAATGAAAAGAGCAGTTTGAACGCCCTCAGCCGGGAATCCGGAAACACTCTCCTCCTCTACGGCCAAGACATTCCAAAAGTGAAAAAACTGATTGAGCAAAACAAGCACAATTTCAAGCACCTCCCGCGAGGACCTCTGGGTTCTTATATCAAACTAAAGGACAAAAAATGGGCGGTCGCTATTGAGAGTTTCATCACTCCAGGTTTGTTGGGTGCTTTCGTTGTTGATAACAACAGCGACAATCACGCGTTACTGCAAATATTGAACAAGGTTAAGGGGCGAAAACCCATGGTTATCACGTCTAAATTCTTCTATGAAGTAAGTATCGCTTGATTGAGGTGTTGTTAAGTCATGTCATCGTCGCCGTTGCAGAAACACAACGTCCAACCCAATCTAGTGAAAGCCCCCAAAGACTGCGTAAGTCTTTACGACGCTTTAGAAATCGAGGATCCCGTCGTTTCCAATTGTATAGTAGATCAAACCGGAATGGAAGGAATTTTGTTGATTCCTAGTAACGACCGAGCGATGGAGCTCCTATCGCACGCCGTCAACGTTCCTAGAAATTGCCGCCAGGGGGTGACGGTGGGCGGCGATAAGTATTACCCAGATCCGAACTACAAAACGTACGGATCTAGGTACCACAGAGCGCAGTATTTGCAAGTTGATACCAAAGAACACATCGTGTAAGTGTTTTAGTTATGTTTATTCAAAACTCTGACTTATTTTGTATGTAGACAATTAGAACAAAACATTCAGGAACTAACTGAGAAAAAACAGGGTCTGGAGAATCAGTATAGTGGGATTTGTCGCGAAATTCGCGACCAAGAAACTAAGAAAAACCAACTAGAGGAAAAAATTAAGAAATTGAATGCAGCGAGAGGGCAGATTAGGGTGCAGCTGGACGAATTGAAGGCCACGGCGGAGCCTGAGGTCGCCAACGTGGAATTATTGGTGCGTTGAACTACAAATTTACAGAATTATGAGGTTTTTCGTCTGTCTGTCTGTCCGTTTGTCTGCCGACTTGTGGTGTGTGAATCCGTATCGAATTTTCACCCCAGACATCCAGAATTTTTAGGAAAATTTAAAACAATAAGAATATTTTGTCATATAACTTTGAAACTGCAAAACCGATTGCTCGGAAATCTTGCAAATATTTTAAGGTTATCGTAATCATGGTAAATCGTTAAGCAAAGTTTATTCTTTACCTCTGCCAAAAAACTGATGATGTCATCGCGAAATTTTGCCGAACAAATCCTGTCCCAAATGTGCCAAAATAAGTTTTACCTTAGCAATTACTAGCCCCACGCATTCGCTCTCTATTTTCTCAGAGGGCTTGGCATTTGCCAAAATCAGTCTTATCTTAGCAAATACTAGCCCCGCCCACCCACCCGTTGTTTTCTCAGAGAGTATGGCGTCTGCCAAAATCAGTCTTATCTTAGCAAGTACTAGCCCCGCCCACCCGCCCCTATTTTCTCACAGGATATGTGATCTGCCAAAATAAGACTTGCCTTAGCAAGGAAGCCTCTGAGAAAATAGCGGGCGGGTGGGCGGGACTAGTACTTGCTCAGATACGACTGATTTTGGCAGACGTCATACACCCTGAGAAAAGAGCGGGCGGGTGGGCGGGGCTAGTACTTGCTCAGATAAGACTGGTTTTGGCAGACGTCATACACCCTGAGAAAAGAGCGGGCGGGTGGGCGGGGCTAGTACTTGCTCAGATAAGACTGGTTTTGGCAGACGTCATACACCCTGAGAAAAGAGCGGGCGGGTGGGCGGGGCTAGTACTTACTCAGATAAGACTGATTTTGGCAAACGCCATTGTCTCTGAGAAAATAGCGGGCGGGTGCGTTCCGTCTGACTATCTGTCTGTCTGTCTGTATCCATTTTTTTAAAGACGTAATCTCCGAAACTGCTGGACCGGTTGTTGTCAAATTTTGTACATATGTTAAAAATATCATGTAGATGGTTAAATACTAACCAAAATTTGGCGTCATCTCCAAAATTTATAATTAAAAGTATAGACATCCAGAATTTTCAGAAAAAATTTAACTGAATAAGAATATTTTACAATATAACTTTGAAATTGCGAAGCCGATTGCTCGGAAACACTCGGAAAATTTGTAAATATTTTAAGGTTATCGTAATCATGGTAAATCGTTGAGCAAATTTTATTCTTTACCCGCTGCCAAAAAACTGATGATGTTATCGCGAAATTTTGTCCAACAAATCCTATCCAAAATGTGTTAAAATAAGTTTTACTTATTTCTAAATTCTCTACAATGTTGAATGTTTAGAATTTATAGAATTTTTAGAATCTCTAGAATATTTAATTAACTTTTATCTCTGAAATATATAGAAAGTCTAAAATCGATAGAATGTTTAGAATCTCTAGAATTGCAGGAACTGGTGTATTCTAGAACTGAATTACTTTGAAGCTCTAAACATTTAAAATCTTAAAAATTTTTAAAAAGATTTCGAATGTTCCAAATATTCCAAATAGTCCCGAAATTGGTTTAAAGATTCGGAAGATTCTAGTAGAGTAGATAGAGATCGTAGAGTATTTAGAGATTTTAAATATAGTACAAACTTTATCGATTCCAGCCATTCTAGAATTTCCATATATTCCAAATATTCTAGTATTCATAAAGACTGTAGAGAATTTAGAGATTCTAGAGATTGTAAAAATTTTGGAGTGTAACTGTTTCAAAAGTCCTAGACATTCTCAAGATTCTAGAGGTTTTAGATATTCTCGAGATTCTGAAATTTCTGGAGTTTTTAAAGATACTGAAAATTCCAAAAAATCCGAAGAATGCAGAGATTTGAATTTTTTGCAGATTCTAGAGATGCCAAATATTCTAGAGATTCTAAAAATTTCAAGAAATCCAAAGTTTTAAATTCTAGTGGTTCTAGCGATTCAAGAGGTTTTAGAAATTCTAGGGGTTCCGGAGATTTTGGAGATTCTAAAAAATAGTAGTTTTTAGAAACTTTAGAATCTTCAGAATTTTTAGCATCTCCAGAATCTCCAGAACCTCTAACCTTTAGAATCTCTAGAACCTTTAGAAAACCCAGAATCTTAAGAATCTTTATAATTCCTGGGATAGTTAGACTCTAAAATTTTTGGAATTTTTGGAATGAGTTTAGAATCTCTTGATTTTCAAGAATCTCTAAAACCCGTAGAATGCCCAGAATAATAAGAATCTCTAGAATCCTTAGAATCTCTAGAATTGCAGGAACCGCTATTTCGAATGTTCCAAATATTCCCGAAATTGGTTTAAAGATTTGGAAGATTCCAGAGATTTCGAAGATTCTATTAGATCTAGAGATTGTAGAGTATTTACAGATTTTTAATTTAGTCCAAACTTTGGAGTCTAGAGGTTCTAGCCATTCTAGAGATTCTAAAAATTCTAGATACTCTGAGTTTAGAGATTTTAGAAATTCGAGATATTCCAAATATTCCAGTATTCCTAGAGATTGTGGAGAATTTAGGGATCCTAGAGATTGTAGAAGTTTTAGAGTCTAACGGTTTCAGCAGTCTTGGACAATCTGAAGATTCGAAATCTTCTAGAGACAAGACTTATGTTAGCAAGTACTAGCCCCGCCCACCTACCCCTATTTTCTCACAGGATATGTGATCTGCCAAAATAAGACTTACCTTAGCAAGAATTTGAGGGAACCTGTGAGTAACTGAGAGAATTTTGAAGAATTTTGAAAAATCAAACAGAATCAAAAAAAAAAAACTGGAGGAGTCTGGAAGAATCTGAAACGATCTGAATAGAACTGAAAATTTTAAAGAATCTTGAGGATTCCTGATGGTCTTTGATAGAATCTTAGAAAAATTGATTGGAAACAAACCGGAAGCTTCGGAAAGCATCCGGAATAATCAGAAAGATAAAAAAAAATCGAAAAGATCTGAAAGAGAGAATTAGAAAGAAAATGAAAGGACCTGAATGCATTTGAAAGAATCTGAAAGAATTTATGGGAATCTGAGAGAAATTGCGAGTTGGAAAGAATCTGAGAGATTCGGAAAGTATTTGAAGGAATCTGAGGAAACCTGTGGGAATCTGTGAGAATCTAGAAGAATCTAGAAAGATCTGGAAGAATTTGGAAAAGTTGCAGAGATCTGAAAATATCTGGCTGGTTTTAAAACGATCTGAATAGAATTAAAAAATTTGAAAGAATTGTGAGAATTCCTGACGGTGTCTTTGAAAGAATCTGAAAAAATTCTAAAGAATGTGAAAAAATCCCAAAGAATCCGAAAAGAAGAATCTTAAAAAAAAAGGAAAGAATCTGGAAGAGTCTCAGGGAATCCAAGAAAATCTCAGGGAATATGATACTAAGAATCGGAGAGAATTAGAGGGGATCAGAAAGAATCTCAGGAAATCTAGACGAATCTAGGTAAATCTGGCAGAATCTGAGAGAATTTGAAAGAATCTAGAAAAATGTAGAAAAAACTGGAAGAATCTGGAACAATCTGCAAGGATCCAAAGCGATCTTAAAGAATTCTAAGGAAATCTGAAGGAATCTTCAGGGATATTGAGAGAATTTGAAAGAATATAAAAAATCGATAACAAAGTGTATTTTTCTGGAAACTTTCGTATTAATTTTTCAACATATTGATAGTAAAATTTATGGAAAACTTGATATTTATATTTTACCGTTGAGACGTTATAAACGAAGCGAAATGAATGATAAACAGAAATTAAGGCAATTTTTTTCCGAAATTCAAGGTATTAAAATTAATCAAATACGAATTAGATTCTCTGACATAAAAAAATTACACATTTTTGACGTTTAATTATTTTGTTGTGAAAAGAAAATTACGTATATTAAGAAAAGAAGCAAAATTGAAGCCCCGCCCACCCACCCCTGTCTCATTGGTGGTGATTTTTTTATTCGCCCTTGGCCCAGGGGCGGAGCTTATCTACAAAATCTTTATTTCTCTACAAGAAATTATCGTGTGAACTATGTTTTGTTGTTGTTGATATAGCAGTCTCCTCAATTTTGCCTTTTTTCTGAATATACGTAATCTTTTTTTCGCGACAAGATTGACTTGTTAAAAATGGTAAACTTTTAACAACGATTTTATAATTAAACTCCACCCCTCGGTCGGACAACGAATGAATAATTCATCGCAATTAAGGTTGGGGTGGGTGGGCGGGGCTTATTTTTGACGTTGTTTTTTAACATAAATGATTTTCTTTCAACGACTTGATACTTAACAACAAGTTTTACATGGTATTTCGTGTAGAGAAATAAGCATTTTGCAATTAAGCTCCGCCCCTCGGCTCACGGCGAATAAAAAAGTCGTCACAATTGAAACATGGGCGGGTGGGTGGGGTTTATATTTTGCCTCTTTCTCTTATATGTACGTAGTTTTATATTCACGACAAAAAACTGAAAACAAATAATTATTATTATTTTCCGATGTATTAACATAAACATTTTAAACACTACACATATTGTTCAGATACCACTATTCCCGTTGGTCTTTTTATCATTCAATAAAGTATATCGCACACTTTTGAAATTATTGCAAGGTCAAATTTTATAATTTTCGAAAATACTGGACTTCAGGGGCGAGGGAAGTTCTGTCGAAACAATTTTCGACAAATTCTTTATTTTTATTAATTTAGGAAACCGAATTAGCGGAAATCCGTACTACTTTGCAACAAAAGAAGGCCCAAATGGCGCAAGTCGAGCAAGAACTCAAAGAAATCCGAGCAAGTCTTAAAGAGAACGACGAAAAATTACAAAAATTGAAAAGTTCAAATTCTAGTCTGGAAGATCGGATGCGGAACCTGGAGGTACGTACCATTTTTGAGATTGCTCGTATTGAGGGATGAATTTCAGGGCCAAGTCCAAGAGGAACAAACCAGGCAGAAGGAAATCGCGACGAGAGACGAGTTCGACAAGCGGAAAGTCAAGGAGTTGGAGAAACGATTGAGTGAGGCTAGGGGTCAAGTGGCGACTAAGCAAACCGCGGTGGGGAACTACACGCAACAGGCGACCAGTTTGGGGGAAAGACCGGAAACATTGAGGAAAGTCCACGACATCGCGACAGAGATAACCAACCTCGAAAAATCCGTGCGAAAAATCGAAGTCACCACCGAAAACACCGACGAACTCGTAGACAAGTACCAACAGATGCAGGAAAAATTCACCAAAATATCCGCGCTCTTGAACTGCTTGAATAACGATATTAGAGAGCTAAACACGGCGATTGATAAGAGAAGTCGTCACTACCAACTAACTGAGAACTTTTTCATAACTTTCATCAAACACTCGTTCAATAAAATAATGGAAGTGCGCCAGTTTCAAGTAATTTTTGTTTTGTTTTCGTGGAAACAGGTTTTAAAGGTGTGTTTTAGGGGTCAGTCGACATTGACATGCAAAGCAAGAAATTGGATTTAGTTGTGGTGCCACAACATGGTTCTCAGGGGTCCACGACGACTGCAAACCTGTCAGGAGGGGAACGATCCTTCTCCACAGTGGCGTTCCTGTACGCTTTGTGGCAATGCATGGAATTCCCGTTTTATTTTCTGGACGAGTTTGACGTCTATATGGATAAGTTAAACCGAACGAAAGTCTTAGATATTTTGATACATCATGCAGAGACCCATCCAGAGTTGCAGTTCGTGTTTCTAACGCCCCAAGACGTGTCTTTCGTCAAGAAAAACGTTACCATTTTAAGGTTGCAGGATCCTGAACGGAACCCGGTTTGATATTACCATAGTTTATTTATTTGCTGCTTGCAGCGTCTACTAGATTTTTTAAACAACTAATTCTGTATTTATAAAGTATATTTTTTCTATCAAAAAATACATAGTTTCATAGTTGCAAAAATATATTAACTATTTTCTGGTAACAGGTAATTTGTGCACAGCCTGAAATTCATTCAGTCTTCTCTCCATCGCTCTCAGTTGCCTCCTTTTTCCTGTAATCCCGACAATTGTGGTAGAGCTTCCTCTCATTGTTGAATTTGTACTGAAAAACTGTTCCTTCGCAATAAACGCACGAAGCGTAGGGTTTGTGGTCCACCATGTCCCCGCTGAAGTGTACTTTAAGGGCCTCCACGGTGGGGGCAAAAAACTGTCGGCACTCGTCGCAGTAATAGTCGTGTTGAACCTGGTATTCCCTGATCACAGCTGCATCTTGGGGCTCCAGGAACCTGGGGTGGATGGCATCAAGTTCGGTATTGAGCTCATTTTTGATGAATTCTTCAGTGACCTCCTTTGCTTCCATAAAAACCGGGGCACTGGTATGCACTTATCTATTAATAGTGCGCTCGAGTGATATTTTTGATTAGATTTGCGCTTCAAGTGATCAAAACACGATTTCGTACGAAGAGGGGTCATCAAGGTTGGCAGCAATGACAGCGTTGAGGTTAACTGTCAATCGCTACAATTAATTATTAGAAAATCGAATTAAAAAGTATGTCGCTGGTGGCATACTCACATTTAATTGGGGCTCGATTGTAAAAAAATTATAAACAAAACAATTTAATAAAAACAAAATAATAGCATAGATTAATGTAGATGCGACATATAGGCTGATTTTGCAAAATAACCCTTATTGACATTGGAGTCAACCGTCAAAGGCAAGCGCCAAATTTAAATAGTCGATGCCAATAAAAAAAACCTTTTGTGAAAAATTGAGAAATCGAAAAATCAAAAGATCAAGATTGAGAAACCGAAATAAGTCAAAATCGAAAAGTTAAAAATTGAGAAATTGTTAATCAAAATGTCGAAAAATCCAACTGTCTATAAATCGAGAAATCAAAAAACTTAAAAATTCGAAAAATTGAGAGATTGAAAGATCCAAAGAACGAAAAATCGAAAAGTGATGAAGTCGAAAAATAGAGAAATCGACAAAAAAGTTAAAAGTTGAAAAATTGGAAAAGCGGAAAAATCAAAAAACGAAAAAATGGAAAACTGGAAAAAGTGAGAAACAGAAATAGGCCAAAATAAAAAATTGAAAAAAAGATGCATCGAAAAACAGAACATTTAAAACCAGGAAGTCGAAAAATAGAAAGATTAAGAAATATTGAAAAATTAAAATATCAAAAGATTGAAAAATCTAAAATTTAAAAATCCAGAAATTGAAAAATCGAAAAAGTAAAAAGGTTGACACATCGAAAACCCAGAAGTCAAAAATAGAAAAGCCGACGAATTGAAATATTGAAAAATTCTAAAACTGAAATATCTAAAAACTGAAAAATCGAAAAATCAAAAAAGTGAAGTCGAAAAATAGAAAACTTAAAAAATCGAAAAATCAAAAAATTAAAGAATTGAAGAACAGGAAGATCGAAACACTCGAAGGTCAAGAAATGGGAAAATCAAAACATCGATCAATTGAAAAATCGAAAAATTGAGAGTTTATAAAAGTCAAATTTGAAAAATTAAAAAATCGAAAATTTGACAAAATGACAATTGAAAAACAGCAAATCTAAAACCGGGAAGTCGAAACATTTGAAAAATTCGAAAAGTTGAAAAATTCAAATATCGAAGAACTGTATTGAAAAATCTAGAATTCGAAAAATCTGAAATTTTAAAAATTAAAAAATCGAAACGGTAAAGAGTCGACACATCGAAAAATCCAGGAGTCAAAAATCGAAAAGTCGAAGAATCGAAATATTGAAAAATCCCAAAACTGAGATATCGAAAAGCTGAAAAATGAAAGAAAAACTGAAAAATGGAAAACCTGAAAAATCCAAAAACTGAGAACCTAAAAAGTCGAAAAATTGACCAATAGAAAAATCCAAAAAGTAAAGTCGAAAAATTGAAACCTTAAAAAAATAAAAAATCAAAAACCTGAAAAATCGAAAAATTAAAGAATTGAAGAACGGGAATATCGAAATCCTCGAAAGTCAAGAAATGGGAAAATCAAAACATCGATTAATTGAAAAATCGAAAAATTGACAGTTTATAAATGTCAAATTTGAAAAATTGAAAAATCAAAAATTTGACAAAATGACAATCGAAAAACAGAAAATCTAAAACCAGGAAGTCGAAAAATCGAAAGATTAAGTAAGAAATATTGAAAAAATAAAATATCAAAAGATTGAAAAATCTAAAATTTGAAAATCCAAAAATTCTAAAACTGAAATATCTAAAAACTGAAAAATCAAAAAAGTGAAGTCGAAAAATAGAAACCTTAAAAAATTGAAAAATCCCAAAACTGAAATAACGAAAAACTGAAAAATGAAAGAAAACCTGAAAAATGGAAAACCTGAAAAATCCGAAAACTGAAATATCCAAAAACTGAGAACCTAAAATGTCGAAAAACTGAGCAATAGAAAAATCCAAAAAGTGAAGTCGAAAAATTGAAACCTTGAAAAAAATTAAAAAATAAAAAACCAAACACCTGAAAAATCGAAAAATTAAAGAATTGAAGAACTGGAAAATCGAAACAGTCGAAAGTCAAAAATGGGAAAATCAAAACATCGATTAATTGAAAAATCTAAAAATTGAGAACATAGAAAAGTTAAAAATTGAAAAACCGAAACATCGAAACATTTAAAAATCGTAAAACTGAAGAAAAACATTGAAAAACGTAAAACTGAAACATCGGAAAATTGAAAATCGAGAAATTGAAAAATTGAGAAATTGTAGAATCAAAAAATTGAATAATAAATAATCTGAAAAATCTCAAAACTGAAATTTCGAAAAATTGAAAAATTAAAGAAAAACTGAAGAATAGACGACTGAATGTCCAAAAACTGAGGAATTAAAAAATTGAAAAAAACGACAATTGAAAAACAAAATCTAAAACCGGGAAGTCGAAAAATCGATGGATTAAGATAAGAACTCAAAACATTTGAAAAATTCGAAAACTTGAAAAACTGAAATATCGAAGAACTAAAATGAAAAATCGAGAAATCGAAAAATCTAAAATTTTAAAAATTAAAAAATCGAAAAAGTAAAGAGTCGACACATCGAAAAATGCAGGAGTCAAAAATCGAAAAGTCAAAGAATCGAAATATTGAAAAATTCCAAAACTGAAATATCGAAAAACTGAAAAATGAAAGAAAAACTGAAAAATGGAAAACCTGAAAAATCCAAAAACTGAGAACCTAAAAAGTCGATCCAAAAAGTAAAGTCGAAAAATTGAAACCTTAAAAAAATAAAAAATCAAAAACCTGAAAAATCGAAAAATTAAAGAATTGAAGAACGGGAATATCGAAATCCTCGAAAGTCAAGAAATGGGAAAATCAAAACATCGATTAATTGAAAAATCGAAAAATTGACAGTTTATAAATGTCAAATTTGAAAAATTGAAAAATAAAAAATTTGACAAAATGACAATCGAAAAACAGAAAATCTAAAACCAGGAAGTCGAAAAATCGAAAGATTAAGTAAGAAATATTGAAAAAATAAAATATCAAAAGATTGAAAAATCTAAAATTTGAAAATCCAAAAATTGAAAAATCGAAAAAGTAAAAACGTAGACACATCGAAAAATCCTAAAACTGAAATATCTAAAAACTGAAAAATCGAAAAATCAAAAAAGTGAAGTCGAAAAATAGAAACCTTAAAAAATCGAAAAATTGAAAAATCCCAAAACTGAAATATCGAAAAACTGAAAAATGAAAGAAAAACTGAAAAATGGAAAACCTGAAAAATCCGAAAACTGAAATATCCAAAAACTGAGAACCTAAAAAGTCGAAAAACTGAGCAATAGAAAAATCCAAAAAGTGAAGTCGAAAAATTGAAACCTTGAAAAAAATAAAAAAATAAAAAACCAAACACCTGAAAAATCGAAAAATTAAAGAATTGAAGAACTGGAAAATCGAAACAGTCGAAAGTCAAAAATGGGAAAATCAAAACATCGATTAATTGAAAAATCGAAAAATTGAGAACATAGAAAAGTTAAAAATTGAAAAACCGAAACATCGAAATATTTAAAAATCGTAAAACTGAAGAGAAACATTGAAAAAACGTAAAACTGAAACATCAGAAAATTGAAAATCGAGAAATTGAAAAATTGAGAAATTGTAGAATCAAAAAATTGAATAATAAATAATCTGAAAAATCTCAAAACTGAAATTTCGAAAAATTGAAAAATTAAAGAAAAACTGAAGAATGGACGACTGAATGTCCAAAAACTGAGGAAGTCGAAAAATCGATGGATTAAGAACTCAAAACATTTGAAAAATTCGAAAACTTGAAAAATTGAAATATCGAGAAATCGAAAAATCTTAAATTTTAAAAATTAAAAAATCGGAAAAGTAAAAAAATCGACACGTCGAAAACTCCAGAAGCCAAAAATCGAAAAGTCGAAGAATCAAAATATGTATTGAAAAATCCTAAAACTGAAAAATGGAAAACCTGAAAAATCCGAAAACTGAAATATCCAAAAACTGAGAACCAAAGAAGTCGAAGAATTGAGCAATAGAAAAATCCAAAAAAATTAAAAAATACAAAATCAAAAACTTGAAAAATCGAAAAATTAAAGAATTGAAACCCTCGAAAGTCAAGAAATGGGAAAATCAAAACATCGATTAATTGAAAAATCGAAAAATTGACAGTTTATAAATGGCAAATTTGAAAAATTGAAAAATCAAAAATTTGACAAAATGACAATCGAAAAACAGAAAATCTAAAGCCAGGAAGTCGAAAAATCGAAAGATTAAGTAAGAAATATTGAAAAATTAAAACATCAAAAGATTGAAAAACCTAAAATTTGAAAATCCAAAAATTGAAAAATCGAAAAAGTAAAAACGTAGACGCGAAAAATCCAGAAGTCAGAAATTGAAAAGTCGAAGGAGAAAATATTGAAAAATCCTAAAACTGAAAAATCGAAAAATCAAAAAAGTGAAGTCGAAAAATAGAAACCTTAAAAAATGGAAAAATTGAAAAATCAAAAACCGGAAAAATCAAAAAATTAAAGAACTGAAGAACAGGAAGTTCGAAACACTCGAAGGTCAAGAAATGGGAAAATCAAACATCGATTAATTGAAAAATCGAAAAATTGAGAGTTTATGAAAGTCAAATTTGAAAAATCAAAAAACCGGAAATTTGACAAAATGACAATTGAAAAACAGAAAATCTAAAACCGAGATGTCGAAAAATCAAAAGATTAAGTAATCGAAACATTTGAAAAATTCGAAAACTTGAAAAATTGAAATATCGAAGAACTGAAATGAAAAATCGAGAAATCGAAAAATCTAAAATTTTAAAAATAAAAAAATCGAAAAAGTAAAAAGTCGACACTTCGAAAAATCCAGGAGTCAAAAATCGAATAGTCGAAGAATCGAAATATTGAAAAATCCCAAAACTGAAATATCGAAAAATTGAAAAATGAAAACTAAATCGGGAAACCAAAACATTGAAAAATCGAAAAATTTAAAACGTCAATTGAAAGCAGAAAATCTAAAACCGGGAAGTCGAAGAATCGAAAGATTAAGCAATCGAAAAAGTAAAAAAATCGACACATCGAAAAATCCAGAAGCCAAAAATCGAAAAGTCGAAGAATCGAAGTATTGAAAAATTCTAAAACTGAAATATCGAAAAACTGAAAAATGAAAGAAAAACTGAAAAATCCGAAAACTGAAGTCGAAAAATTGAAACCTTGAAAAAAATTAAAAAATAAAAAACCAAACACCTGAAAAATAAAAAAATTAAAGAATTGAAGAATTGGAAAATCGAAACAGTCGAAAGTCAAAAATGGGAAAATCAAAACATCGATTAATTGAAAAATCGAAAAATTGAGAACATAGAAAAGTTAAAAATTGAAAAACCGAAACATCGAAATATTTAAAAATCGTAAAACTGAAGAGAAACATTGAAAAAACGTAAAACTGAAACATCGGAAAATTGAAAATCGAAAAATTGAAAAATTAAAGAAAAACTGAAGAATGCACGACTGAATGTCCAAAAACTGAGGAATTAAAAAATTAAAAAAAACGACAATTGAAAAACAAAATCTAAAACCGGGAAGTCGAAAAATCCGATTAAGAACTCAAAACATTTGAAAAATTCGAAAACTTGAAAAACTGAAATATCGAAGAACTAAAATGAAAAATCGAGAAATCGAAAAATCTAAAATTGAAAAAACGGCAATTGAAAAACAGAAAATCTAAAACCGCGAAGTCGAAAAATCGAAAGATTAAGAAATCGAAACATTTGAAAAATCTAAATATGAAAGAACTGAAATGAAAAATCGAGAAATCGGAAAATCAAAAATTTTAAATATCGAAAAATTAAAATAACAAAAAATTGAGAAATCTAAAATTTAAAAATCGAAAAAGTAAAAAGTCGACAGATCGAAAAATCCAGAAGTCAAAAATGGAAAAGTCGAAGAACAGAAATATTGAAAAATCCCAAAACTGAAATATGGAAAAACTGAAAAATGAAATAAAAACTGACGAATCGAAAAACTGAGAATCTAAAGAATCGAAAAATTGAGAAATCGAAAAATCAAAAATTGAAGCTGAAAAATCGAAACCTGAAAAAATTGAAAAATCAACAAGGGTTTATAAAAGTCAGTAAGCAGCTTGTAATATTCTGGTAAATCTAGTGTCAATTTGTCGAAAGGTAAAACGCGTCGTTAAAAATATTGACATTTTTTCTAGTTAATTTTATTCCCAGTTAGAAAAAAACACTGTTGCCAACATAAGTCGATATGACGCTTCTCTATGTTCTCTGATAATAGTAATACCAACCTGCGTCGAAAACCCCAAATGACATTTAAGTCACCAGATTTAAATTTTAAAGCTAATCGTCTCTGGGCCCCCATTCACGCTCTTCAACACACTTGCACTAAACGAATCCGCTTCTTTCGACAACAAAATCCTATTGTTAACTAAATGATAAAAATACTCTCCGAACGAAGACGTGTTGTACGCTTTCCCAGCCACTATCCGTGTGGTCAAATCATTAGTTAAAATAACCGTGAAACCGTGCTCGTTACCCAAAGCCCGCAAAGTCTGCAACAACGTATACACAAGCTTGGTTTTTTCGCCACTGGGTTGCAGCCGCAAGGGCCACGAAATACTATCAATGAACACCACCCCCACACTATTCTGTTTCAACCACGAACGCAAAAACTCCACGCTTGCTGTTAGAGTGACGGGATCCGGAGCCTCCACACACAAAATTCTTGCCAAAGTAGCGTCTGCATCGACGCCACATTTCTGACAAATTTCTAAAACCAAAAATTGTAATTTTCGAACATACATCACCAATAAATACCTCTTAGTCTCTCAGGGTTTAGGTTTTTGTTCGTGTGGATGAAAACAACCCGCGACTTCGCCCCCACAGCTAAATGTAGACACAGCTGCGTTTTTCCGCTCCCTGGGAAGCCACAGAGTTCGGTGATGCACCCCGGTAGCGCGATTTTCGTTAAAAGTGGATCCAGTTCTGGAATTAGGGTTGCAGTGAGCCCCGATTCGTCGTCACATAGCTCGAGAGCCGTTTTGGGTTTCGGGGCTGTCGTGACTGACCCCCAATCCGGGAGCTTGATTTTCGGGTTAATCGCGTCTAAATTGTCTGCGACGTCGTTGCAATGGTGAAAACCGGCGTTTTCGAGTTTCGTAATTACGTTTTGCGGCAAATTCAGCGATGAGATCGATTGATTCATTTTAAATTTGAATTTTGAGGTTAACAAAATGGCGCATGCGCAGTAAATGTAAACCGAGTTTTAGGTTATGTGCAAGTTCGAAGAATGATTCGAAATTGAAGCAAAATGGATTAATAAATGAGTTTTCTTTGTTTGAAGAGGTAATTACGGTTTCACGGTGTATAAATGCGTGTTTGGTTCGATGATACCAGTTTGCAGATATTAATTTTGGAAAACTCGAACCTAACCTCACTTTTTGTAGCAGCAATGTTTGCGAAAAAAGCACGAAAACGGTGGAAGTTTGAACTGGAAGACAAGTTAAAAATGGTTTGGTTAGGTAAGGTTAAATACAAGCTAAACTTTGAACTGAAAAAACAGATCACTGTAAAATAGTCACCCGAAGATCAAATCCAGTGGCCCCCTTTGATAAAACACAGGAGACTGCGACATGTCCCCGAGGACAAAATCCAGTGGTATAAATGTGGCGCATTTAAGGGGGTACCATTGAAAAGGTAAGTTCAAGGAAATTAAAATTGATTATTATTCACTTCAGTGTATTTTACAACTTGTATAAATTATGTTACAACAGTTTTACTATAAGTAGGGGAAAGTGGGACCAGTGAGATTGACGGACGAAAGTACATCACTAAGTATATAATTAACTAAAACTATTGTTGCCTAATGTTAAACTTTGAACCAATAAATTGTGTCTAGTTGTGTCAAAAGTTGTGATTTTGGGTCCAGATTTTCCACGTCGCCCCATCTCCCCTACTGTCCTCTTGATAAATTATCCGCTAATATTTCCCGGCTCCGGTGCGTCCGCTCCGTCCATGTCCACGTAGTCCTCTTCCCCATTGTCCGTTTCCGGGAGTTCTTGTATGGCTGGCGGCTCCTCGCAGGCCCCGAACTTCACAATGGATAATGATTTCTGCTCTTCACGCGGCCTTGACTTGAGATGACAAAGAAATTCGCATTTATTTCCGTAAGATATTCCATTCGAGGCACACACTGGAGCGTATATTCGCGTACAAATGCAGGGAATTTTGCTCAGTGGATCACTTTTGCAGTTTGTTAGAAGCAAGGCGAACAGGAAGACGGCTTTCATGGTTGTGAATTGTTTGCAAAAACGAGGAATTGCGGTTTGCTATTGCACGGATTGATACACATACGACTTGAGCATTTTCGAGCTATTTATAGAAAAGTATCTGTGTTTGTAGACGACGATGCTTTATGGTGTTTGTCGGAGATTAATTAATTATTAAAGGAGGTGACGATGGATTGTAGGTAAATGGAATTTAACGGCTGGAGTGGCAGTAAACACGGATCATCGATCAACATCATTAAGTTTTTGTTCTTTCTTACAATCGAGCCACTATTTACTACAACATCAATTGATTGTTTGCGTGTCTTTGTTTGTAAGCGTTATCTACGCTTAAAATGGTTGAGTAAATACGGTTCAAATTGGGGGATTAAGTTTAAACGGGACGCACATTTCCTGGCGACAAATCACTCCGGCCAATTGTGGCGTAGTTTTTCTCGTTGAACAACCACTTGGTGGAAATTTATTCCATAAGCGTTTCTGATCAACGTTTTCCCGCTTTGCTGTTTCTTAAAGCGAGGCGTGTTTGTGCACGAGAAACTTGAAAAGTTGTTGTTTGTTCTCATGATGGAGGTATTTGTGTTATACTTACCCGTATTATATCTTTACCAGAGAAAACCTTTTGCAACTTACTTGTGTGCAAACGGTAAGTCAACAAGAATTCGTAGAAAAACACGGCGCCATAGAGAAGTTTTTAAGTGCATCGTTGGATTCATTGGTGTGGAAATGAGGTTTGCTTGTTGTAGGTGGAGTGAGGTAAAGTTTAAGAGAGCGACGGTGACTTTGGATATTTGAAATCTGTAAAAATTTTCCGGAATATCCAGCTGTGGATAATTTCCGTGGATTATTATGTGTGTGTAGTCGCTGTTGTTAAGGATGATTTATTTTATTGATTAATTCAAGGACGACTCATTCAATTTTCCCGAGATTTTCTCAATTTTCCATTTTTCGATGTTTAGATTTTTGGAATTCTCAATTTTTCGTTTTTTTGATTGTTTGATTTTTCAAGTTTTATTTTTTTTATTTTTCGATTTTTCGATTTTTCGAGCTAAATTCATGGAAGACTGTAAAAAGTGTGAATTATTTTTGTCTAAAATTATTTAATAATTGCCGATGTCTATTAAAGAGCGTAATATGCCAAATTTTAAAACAAAAATCAAAAAATATCTAGTGAAAAAGGCGTATTATAACATAGACAATTTTCTTATTGATAAAGGTATAAACAGACTGAGTTGATGGAGTTGCTCATAGCCAGAGGTAATAATAATAATAATAATAATAATAATGTTTATTTCCAACGGGTAAGCACCCAATTACAGGAAACAAAAACAGAAAAACAATGTAGGCATAATGGTACAAACTGTAGCACTAAGAATAAGGAAAAAAAAAGAAAATACAATGCTGAATTTATAATAAAAGGTCAGAATATAAATCAAACAATACTCCCTAATTCTCTAAATAAGAAATTAAAGCGTTAGATATGTAACTAAAAGGATCATTATTAATGTCACATAAATCACTAATTAAGTTAAAATTACTACACATTATAACAAGTGGTGATCTAGTCATAACATTTGTTCTGCTAGTACTATAATAGAACGTACGGCAACTTCGAGCATTTAACCGAGGAACTAAGAATACAATTTTATTGAATAGATAAGTACAGTCAGTTATATTACTAATTAAGCTGTGGAGAAGTTTTACACTTGAAATTACCCGTCTAGTACTAAGTAAATTGCAGTTAAATCTGCTTAGTAAAACGCCATGATTATATCCGCGAGGAGGGTAAATCCCATCAACTAAAAATACTACAAATTTGAGAAACTTGCGTTGAACTGACTCCAGTAATTGAATGTAAGTAGAATATATAGGAAACCAGATAACAGCGGCATACTCAAGTCTAGAACGTATAAATGAGTAATACAACGTAAGCAACGATTGAACGTTCGAGAACTCAGAACAGTTTCTATAAATAAACCCAAACATATTATACGCTCTAGTCGTACACTCCACAATATGATTTTTGAAGAAGAATTTACTGTCAAAGACAACGCCTAAGTCCTTATACGTATCCAGTCTAACCAAATTAAATTCTTCAATAGAGTATTCATAAACTATATTGGTTAGTTTTCTGGAATAAGTAATAATAAAACACTTGTCTTTGTTTAAGAATAACCGGTTTTTTATGGTCCACGAAGTTAACTGATCCAAATTGTGCTGCAAGATTTCACAATCTCGAAGGGTACTAATAGATAAGAAAACTTTGAGATCATCGGCGTATAGTAGCTTTTGACAAGTCAAAGAGTTTACGACATCATTGACGAATAGTAAAAAAAGCAAGGGACCAAGATTGGACCCTTGCGGGACACCCGACGTAGGACAAAATGCCTCGGAAACAAAATTACGGTATTTAGCTGAAAGCTTTCTATTAAGTAAGTATGATTCAAGCAACAGGAGTAGAGAATCCGAAAATCCGAAATGATTTAGTTTACGAAGTAGTACATAATGATCAATCTGATCAAAGGCTTTACGAAAATCTGTGTAGATAACATCTACTTGGTTATTTTGATCAATAGCCTCTGAAACATACTGAGTAAAACAAGACAGATTCGTAACCGTAGATCTTTTCTCCACAAAACCATGCTGGAAGGGCGAGATTAAACTTTTAACCGAAAAATACAAACGTTTATAAACAACAGATTCAAAAATTTTTGAAAAGTTGCAGAGAACACATATTGGTCGGTAATTTTCAATCATAGACGGATCGCCTTTTTTAAATACTGGAGTAACTGTCGCTTCTTTCCAGATGTCAGGAAAATACGAAGTCTTAATAATAAGATTAAACAGAGAATGGAGAGGTTTTACAAAGATCGATGCACAGTCTTTTACGATAAAGCTGGGAATGTTATCTACACCTGCGATTAGAGAATCTTTGGATCGTTTTAACACTTCAAGTATTTCATCTTCTGTTATGTTCTCAATTTGTATTATAGAGTTGCTCAAATCACTTTGGTTTAAAACACAAGAGTAAGAAGAGTCAGAAATAACGTATACGCTTTTAAAGAAAGAAGCAAAAGCATTAACAATTTCAGGTGGTGTCTGAAGTTCTTGATCAGAAAATTTCATGATTGCTGGAATTCTGGACTTTCCTTTTTTAGTCTGAACATAGGACCAAAACCTCTTAGGGTTGGACGTGAGTGACGACTGAACTTCGTTTAAGTATCTGAGATAGTTGGATTGAATCAAGGACTTGCATTTAGATCTGTGGTATTTAAAAGCATCATAAAAATACTGGCTTTTGTATTGTCTGAATTTATTATGAAAAAGCGTTTTCAAACGTAGCATTTTGATAACCTCTGAGTCAAACCACGGGGGTATCGATGACCTTCCTTTTTGAAATTAAACTTAGGGACAGATACCTCAAAGATTTTGTTTAAAACTTGATAAAATTCAAAACATGCCGTATTAACGTTAGTTACGTTTTCCAAAAAAGACCAGTCAGTAGAAAGAAGTAAATCGTATAATAATTTGAAGTTAGCTTTACGAAAATTAAAACAGCTTGAATCTGGATTCATAAGAAAATGACCAGAAGATTTTATTATAAAGTGAAATGAAATATTTAATGCAGGATGGTAGTCATCTTCTGGTACAAGGGGAAGATCCGACTGTTTTACAGAGCAATGAAGATTAGAGAATAGCAGATCTAAAAAGCGATTGAATTTGTTATAGATATTATTGTACTGAGAAAAATTATGAAAATTCGCAAAATTTTTGAGCAAAATTGTGGCTCTATTATCTAAATTGGCTGAAAAATCTGGTACGTTAAAGTCACCAAGAACAACAACATTATCCATATGAGATTCTTCAACAGTACTGAATAAATTCAAAAAGAGCTCATAATCATTGAGGTTAATTGAAGGAGGAACATAGACAACGAAGACATATAGAGAGAGTCCACATGAAGATTTAATTTTTAGTCCAAGTATGTCTATTATTGGTAAAGTTGACGTGATATGCGATAAATCAATCTCGGAACAAACAAATGTATTAAGAACTGCAATAAGAACTCCACCTCCTTTTGTGACATTAGTTGCAGCAAAATTTCTATCTTTTCTATACACTAAATAATTATCTGGAAATAATTCGCTATTCAATATATCTTCAGAAAGCCAGGTTTCCGATAGTGCGATAAATTCAAAAGAAGAATGATATGACTTGTATGAAACAGATTTTGTAACTATGTACATACTAGTAATAAAGTTATTTATTTATTTATTTTATTTATTTATTTAACCCTTCGATATTTCAATGTTTCCCGATTTTTCTATTGTTTGATTTTTCAAATTTTCCGTTTTTAGTTTTATCGTTTTTCGAATTTTCGATTTTTCAATTTCCCGATTTCTCATTTTGTCGACCTTCTCATTCAATTTTTCGATTTCCCGATTTTTCAGTTTATCAATTTTTATATGTTTAAATTTTTCGATTATTAATTTGTCGATTTCTGAACTTCTGGATTTTTCAATTTTTTGATTTTTCAAATTTTCCACTTTTCGATTTTCGAAGTGTCAATTTTTCAGTTTGTCAACATTTCCATTTTTCGGTTTATCATTTTTCGACTGTTTGATTTTCGAACTTTAGATTTTTCAATTTCCAGATTTCTCAGTTTGTCGACTTTTTTATTTTTCAATTTTTCGATTTCTCAATTTTTCGGTTTTCCAATTTTTTGGTGTTTAAATTTTTTTTTTCATTTTTCAACTTTTCGATTTCCAAGCTGCCGATTTTTCGATTATACAGTTTTCCGATTTTTTAATTTTTGGATTTATGAATTTTTCAATATTTCGTTTTCCCAGTTTGCCGACTTTGCCGACTTTTCCATTTTTCGATTTTCGGGTTTCTCGATTTTTCTATTGTGTGATTTTTAAAATTTTCCACTCTTTATTTTTCGATTTTTTTGATTTTCGAACTTTCGATTTCTGGATTTCCAGATTTTTCGATTTCTGGATTACCAGATTTTTCGATTTTCCAATTTTTCCGTTTTTAAATTTTTTTATTGCTCATTTTTCAACTTTTCGATTTTCAAGCCTCCGATTTTTCAATGCTTCAATTGTACATTTTTCCGATTTTTCAGTTTTTCAATTTATGGATTTTTTAATATTTCGATTTTTCAAATTCTGAATTTCCTGATTTTTAAATTTTTTGATATTTCAATTTTTCGATTTCTCAGTATGTCGATTTTCTCATTTTTCGATTTCCAGTTTTCTCAATTTTTCGATTTCAAGGTTTTTCGATTTTTCCGTTTTTTCAATTTCTGGAATGCTCGATTTTTCGGTTCTTCGATGTTTCAATTCTTCGGTTTCTCAATTTTTGATTTCTCGATTTTCGATTTTTCCAGTTTACTTATATTTTTGGGTTTTAGATTTTTCGTTTTTTTCAATTTTTACTTTTTAAAACTTATCAACGTTTCGATTTTCGAGCTTTCGATTTTTCCAATTCTTGGATTTTCCGATTTTTCATTATTTTGATTTTTCAATTTCTGAATTTCTTAAATTTTCAATTTTTTTTATTGTTCAAATTTCCCCTTTTTTGATTTTCCAATTGTTTCGTTTTCTCGGTTTCTTGATTTTCGATATTTCAATTTTCTAATTGTTAGATTTTTCGAGATTTTAAATAATCAAATTTTCGATGTTCCATATTTCAGTATTCCGATTTTTTAAAATCTCAATTTTTCATTTTTAGATTTTTCGAGTTTTTTCATTTTTTACTTTTTAAAATTTTCCGACTTTTCAATTTTCGAGCTTTCGTTTTCTCACTGTTTCGATTTTCAATTTTTCGGTTACTCGATTATTGAGTTTTCCGATTTTTCAACTTTTTGATTTTCTGATTGCTCAGTTTCTGAAATTCTGGATTTTTTTCAGTTTTTCGATCACTCGTTATTCGGTTTTTCGATTTTCCAATTTCCCAATATGTATTTCGCTTTTTCATATTTTCGATTTCACGGTTATTCGATTTCTCGGTCTCTCGATTTTTGATTTTTCCATTTTCAATTGTTAGATTTTTCGAGATTTTAAATTATCAAATTTTTGGTTTTCCATATCTCTGTATTACGATTTTTCGAAACTTCAATTTTTCGTTTTTAGATTTTTACATTTTTCAATTTTTAGTTTTTAAAATTTTCCGACTTTTCGATTTTCGAGCTTTGGATTTTTCCATATTCTAATTTTTTCAATTCTTGGGTTTCCGATTTTTCAATTTTTTAATTTTTTTGATTTTTCAAATTTCCTGTTTTAGATTGTACTTTTTTCATTTTTCGACTTCTGAATTTCTCAATTTTTCAATTTTTTTGATTTTTCAAATTTCTCTTTTTCGATTTTTTCGTTTTTTCGATTGTTCGCTTTTTTGCAGTTTGTACTTTTTTCATTTTTCGATTTTCCGATTTTTCAATATTTCGATTTTTTTAAATTTGCAATGTCTGAAATTCTCAATTTTAAATTTTCTTCTTTTCGATTTTTCAATTTTTTCGATTGTTCGATTTTTTCAATTTATACTTTTTTCATTTTTCGATTTTTGAGATTTGGATTTTTCAATGTTTCAATTTTTCGATTTCTTGTTATTCTGTTTTTCGATTTCTTGCTTTTTCAATTATTCAGTTTCTCGATTTTTGAGTTTTTAAACTTTTCAATTTTTCGATTTTTCGACATTTTTCATTTTTTCGATTTTACCGTTTTAGGATTTCTCAGTATTTCTATTTTTCCATTTTTTTTTATATTTCGATATATCTATTTGTGAATTTCTCGTTTTTTCGACTTTTTGATATTTTGATCTCTCGATTTTTCGATTTTTTCAGTTTTTAGACTTTTCGATTTCACGATTACTCGAATTTTAAGTTCGTTTCTAAGTTCTATCAAATCTTAGATGAGATTTTCCAAGTGCATGTTCCAAGGAAAGTAACTCATGTAGGTAATTATCCCAATTGGTTCAATGGCTCTATTATCAAAATAGTGAAGCAAAAGAAATCTGCTTGGAAAAAGTATAGTAAAACTATATCTCCGGATGACTATCTGACATTTAAAACTTTGAGAACCCAGTTGAAATCTAAAATAAAAGATGCCTATAAATTGTATTTGCAACGAATGAATTACTGTGTTAAGTTAGACCTTAAGAGGTTTTGGGCATTTATAAACTCCAAAAAAAAATCAGACCTTTTTCCACAGAATATGACGTACAAAGATTCAAACCTCTCCAATCCCAAGGATATTGTTGACGCATTTGCTAATCACTTTGCCCAATCTTTTACTGACAAAAATCCACCTGTTAATCTTAAGTGTACAAGTCTAAATAAAAATATTCTTAGCGTAAAACACATCAGTGAAGAGAATGTATATAACGCCATTAAGAACTTAAAACCCAAAATGACTAACGGACCTGATCAAATACCAGCTTTTGTAGTGAAAGATTGTGCAAATGTGTTCACGATACCATTAACTATTATATTCAACCTTATTTTAAAGACATGTACTTTTCCTAATAAATGGAAGTACTCTAGAATTTGCCCTGTTTACAAAAAAGGAGAAAAATCAAATGTTGAAAATTATAGGCCCATATCTATTATTTCTAATTTTGCCAAGGTGTTTGAAACAGTATTACATAATATTTTGTCCCATCATATATCACAAATGATTTCCTCAACTCAGCATGGTTTTACCAAAGGACGCTCCACCATGACAAATCTTCTTTCCTTAACACAATTTTTAAGTGATTCATTAGACAACCAATGCCAAGTGGACGTCATTTATACTGATTTATCAAAGGCATTTGATAAAATTGACCATCGCCTCCTAATGCAAAAGTTGGAATGTTTTGGGTTTTCGGACTCATTAATTTCATTGTTAAATTCTTATTTAGACAGTCGATATTTATTTGTTAAAATCAATGGATTTAAATCAGAACTGTTCAAACAAGAGACAGGTGTTCCACAAGGCTCCGTATTGGGTCCCTTGCTTTTCAATATGTATATTAATGACATTGTTGATGCCATAGATGTGCATTCCCTTCTCTTTGCGGATGATTTGAAGATTTATACTGTAGTCAATTCATTTCATGATTCTCTTCGGCTTCAAAAATGTCTTGACAGAGTTTACAGATGGTGTTTGAATAACAATTTAATGATTAATAAAACTAAATGCTATGCCATGTCATTCACCAAAAAAGAAAAACCCATTATTTACAGATACAGCATTGATAACACCGTTCTTACTAGGCCTGAAGTTATACGCGATCTTGGGGTAGTCTTCGACTCAAAACTTTCATTCAGTCAACATATTCAGGCAATAACTGAGTCTGCTTTCAAATCCTTAGGCTTTGTCATCCGGAATGGTCGGGAGTTTGGTGATATTGAAACACTGAAATTACTCTATTTCACTTACTGTAGATCTTGTCTTGAATACGCCTCTGTCATATGGAGTCCTGTATATAATATCCACATTTCTTCCCTTGAAAGAATACAAAGACGTTTTCTTAAGACGGTGTCCTACATAGTCGATGGCGTTTATCCCCTGAGAGGTTATCCTCAGGATTTACTTCTGGGTAGATTCAAAATTCCATCTTTGCTAAATAGACGTAGAGAGCACTCGGTAATAACTTTATTTAAAATTGTCAAAGGACTGCAAGAGTGTCCTGATATACTTTGCAATTTATCACTTAAGATCAACAGAGGGAACATACGTAGTAAAAATTCTTTCTATTTGCCCACTGTACGCACTATGAGTAGAGCAAATTCTCCACTTGTTCAAATGGTGGTTAATTATATGGACATCGAGAATCAAGTCGATCTATTTAACTGCACTTTAGGTCAGATTAAAAGATGCAAACCAAACAGAGCCAAGTTGAAGTTATGCTTAAAATATTTGTACAACGTTTCTGTGTCCTGTAATTGGGTTCCCCACCCGTGGACACTATGCATTAATAATAATAATAATAATAATAATAATAATAAGTTTTTGTTCTTTCTTACAATCGAGCCACTATTTACTACAACATCAATTGATTGTTTGCGTGTCTTTGTTTGTAAGCGTTATCTACGCTTAAAATGGTTGAGTAAATACGGTTCAAATTGGGGGATTAAGTTTAAACGGGCCGCACATTTCCTGGCGACAAATCACTCCGGCCAATTGTGGCGTAGTTTTTCTCGTTGAACAACCACTTGGGTGCAAATTTATTCCATAAGCGTTTCTGATCAACGTTTTCCCGCTTTGCTGTTTCTTAAAGCGAGGCGTGTTTGTGCACGAGAAACTTGAAAAGTTGTTGTTTGTTCTCATGATGGAGGTATTTGTGTTATACTTACCCGTATTATATCTTTACCAGAGAAAACCTTTTGCAACTTACTTGTGTGCAAACGGTAAGTCAACAAGAATTCGTAGAAAAACACGGCGCCATAGAGAAGTTTTTAAGTGCATCGTTGGATTCATTGGTGTGGAAATGAGGTTGGTTGTTGTAGGTGGAGTGAGGTAAAGTTTAGGAGAGCGACGGTGACTTCGGCGATTTGGAATTTGTAAAAATTTTCCGGGATATCCAGCTTGTGGATAATTTCCGTGGATTATTATGTGTGTGCAGTCGCTGTTGTTAAGGATGATTTATTTTATTGTTTAATTGAAGGACGACTTAGTTTTTATTTTTGGTATTTTCGATTCATGGAAGACTGTAAAAAGTACTTTATCAAACTAAACATTCTTACATTACCAAGTATTTATTTTATATTCTCAATTGCGTTATTTATGTTAAATCTCATGCGGCAGACTATAAACGATACAGCGAAATAGATAATCATGACAATGGAAACAACAGTGCGCAGTGTTTAAATAATGTTAGATTAAAAAAAAAAATCAAAATAGTGTGAATTATTTTTGTGTAAAATTACATATGTAATAAACTGCCGATGTCTATTAAAGAGCTTAATATGTTAAATTTTACAACAAAAATCAAAGAATATCTAGTCAAAAAGGCGTACAATGATACGACTTGTTCGAAACAGATCTTGTAACTACGTACTAATAAAGTTATTTATTTATTTGTTTGTTTATTTTATTTATTTAAGCCTTCGATTACTATTTCTGCATTTCTCGGTTTACGATTATTCATTTTTCGATTTCTCGACTATTCAGTTTTTCGATTTTTTTTCCTCGATTTTCCTATTTTTTGACATTTCAAATTTTCAATTTTTCTATTTTTCATTTTTCGACTGTTCGCTTTTCGAACTTTCGATTTTTCAATTTTTCGGTTTCTGAATTTCTAGATTTTTCTATTTTTGGTTTTTAAAATTTTCCAGTTTTTGTTTTTCGAACTTTCGATTTTTCAATTTACCAATTTCTCAGTTTGTTGACTTTTACATTTTTCGATTTGTCTGTCAGTTTTTCGATTTCTTAATTTTTCGATTTTTTAATTTTTCCGTTTTTAAATTTTTTGTTTTTTCAATTTTCAACTTCGATTTTCAAGCATCCGGTTTTTCAATGTTTCAATTTTTTGATTTTTCAGTTATACAGTTTTCCGATTTTTCATTTTTTCGATTTATGGATTTTTCAATATTTCGATTTTTCAAATTCTGAATTTTCAGATTTTTCAATTTTTTGTTTTTTTAAATTTTCGATTTTTTAATTTCTCGATTTCTCAGTATGTTAAATTTTATATTTTTCGATTTTGGGGGTTTTCGATGTTTCAGTTTTTTCGATTTTTGCACTGATCGATTTTTCGGTTCTTCGATGTTTCGATTTCTTGATTTTGAATTTCTCGATTTCTCAATTTTTGATTTCTCGATTTTCGATTTTTCCATTTTATAATTGTTAGATTTTTCGAGATTTCAAATGATTAAATTTTCGATTTTCCATGTTTCAGTATTCCGATTTTTCGAAATTTGAAATTTTCGTTTTTAGATTTTTCGATTTTTTCAATTTTTACTTTTTAAAATTTATCAACGTTTCGATTTTCGAACTTTCGATTTTTCCATGTTCGGATTTTTTCAATTCTTGGATTTTTCCATTTTTCAGTATTTCGATTTTTCAGTTGTTCAAATTTCCCCTTTTCGATTTTTCAATTTTTTTGTTTTTTCGATTTTTCGATGTTTCCAATTTGTACTTTTTTCATTTTTCGGTTTTTCAATTTTTCGATTTCTCGTTATTCGGTTTTTTGAGTTTTCAATTTTTTGTTTTTCCGATTTCTCGATATTTCAAATTTTCAATTTCTGAAATTCTCGATTTTTCACTGTTTCGATTTCACTGTCTGAATTCCTAGATTTTTCTATTTTGTGGTTTTTTAAATTTTCCACTTTATTTTTTTGATTTTCGAACTTTCGATTTATCAATTTACCGATTTCTCAGTTTGTCGACTTTTCCATTTTTCGATTTCTGGATTTCCCAATTTTTCGATTTGTCTGTTTTTAGATTTCTCAATTTTCCAATTTTTCAGTTTTTTTTATTTGTCAACTATTCATACTCCAATTTTTTCGTTTTTTCGATTGTTCGAGTTTTCCAATTTGTTCTTTTTTCATTTTTCGATTTTTCGATTGCTCGGTTATTAAATAAATAAATTCAGTTTTTCGAATTTCCAATTTTTCGATTTTCTGATTTTTCAATACATATTTCGATTTTTCAAATTTTCAATTTCTGAAATTCTCGATTTTTCTATTTTTTGATTTTTCAAAATTTTCCCTTTTCGATGTTTCAGTTTTTTCGTTTTTTTTGATTGTTCGATTTTTTTCAATTTATATTTTTTCGTTTTTCGACTTTTCGATTTTTGAGCTTTCGATTTTTCAATTTTTGGATTTTCCGATTTCTCACTATTTCGAATTTTCAATTTAAGAAATTCTCAATTCCTAGTTTTTTAATTTTTCAAATTTTCTCCTTTTCAACGTTTCAATTTTTTCGTTTTTTCGATTGTCCGATTTTTCAGTTTTTTAATTGTTAGATTTTTCGAGATTTCAAATTATCAAATTTTCGATTTTCTATATTTCGTATTGCATATTTCGATTTTTCGAAATTTCAATTTTCGATATTTTTAATTTTTACTTTTTAAAATTTATTTATAAGTTTCGATTTTTCCATTTTTCGGATTTTTTTAAGTGGATTTTCCGATTGTTCAGTATTTCGATTTTTGAATTTTTGATTTTTTCCATTTTTTTGATTGTTCAAATTTCCTCTTTTCGATTTTTCAATTTTTCTCGTTTTTTCGATTGCTCAATTTTTCCAATTTGTACTTTTTTCATTTTTCGACTTCAATTTTCAAGCTCTCTATTTTTCACAGTTTTGATTTTTCATTTTTTCGTTTTCTTAATTCCTAGATTTTTCTATTTTGTGATTTTTAAAATTTTCCACTTTTTGTTTTTTTGATTTTTTTGATTTTCGAACTATCGATGTATCAACTTACCGATTTCTCAGTTTGTCGACATTTCCGTTTTTCGATTTCTGGATTTCCCGATTTTTCAATTTGTCAGTTTTTTGATTTCCCAATTTTCCAATATTCCCGTTTTTAAATTTTTTTATTTTTCATATTTCAACTTTTTGATTTTTCAATGCTTCAATTTTTCGATTGTTCAATTTTTCGATTTATGGATTTTTCAACATTTCGTTTTTGCAATTTTTCAAATTATGAATTTCCCGATTTTTCAATTTTTTGATTTTTCAAATTTTCTATTTTCGATTTCCGGATTTCTGGATTTTTCGTTTGCAGGGTTTTTCGATTTTTCAGTTTTTTCGATTTCTGGAATGCTCAATTTTCCGATTCTTCGATGTTTCGATTTCTTGATCGTCAATTTCTCGATTTCTCAAATTTTGATTTCTCGGTTTCTCGATTTTCGATTTTTCAATTTTCTAATTGTTAGAATTTTTGAGATTTCATATTATCAAATTTTCGATTTTCCCTATTTCAGTATTCCCATTTTTCGAAATTCCAATTTTTCGTTTTTAGTTTCTTCGATTTTTCGATTTTTTCAATTTTGACTTTTTAAAATTTTTTGACTTTTCGATTTTAAAGCTTTCGATTTTCCGTGTTAGGATTTTTCAATTCTTGGATTTCCCGATTTTTCAGTATTTCGGTTTTTCAATTTCTGAATTTCTCAGTTTTTCATTTTTTTTTTGTTTTTTTAAAAATCCCCTTTTCGATTTTGCAATTTTTTAGTTTTTGCGATTGTTTGATTTTTTCAGTTCGTATTTGTTTCATTTTCCGACTTTTCGATTTTCGAGTTTTCGATTTTCCCATTTTTCGATATCTCGATTATTCAGTTTTCCGATATTTTCCAATTTTTCGATTTTCTGATTTCTCAATATCTCCGTTTTTCAAATTTTCAATTTCTGAAATTCTCGATTTTTCTGTTTTTTGGTTTTTCAAATTTTTCCCTTTTCGACGTTTTAATTTTTTAGATTGTTCGATTTTTCCAATTTGTATTTTTTTTCATTTTTGACTTTTCGATTTTTCAGTTTTTCGATCACTCGTTATTCGGTTTTTCGATTTTCCGATTTCCCAATATGTATTTCGTTTTTTCATATCTTCAATTTCACGGTTATTCGATTTCTGGAATGCTCGATTTTTCGGTTCTTCGATGTATCGATTTCTCAATTTTTGAATATTCGGTCTTTCGATTTTCGATTTTTTCATTGTATAATTGCTAGGTTTTTCGAGATTTCAAATTATCAAATTTTTGATTTCCCATATTTCAGTATTCTCAATTTTCGAAATCTCAATTTTTCGTTTTTCGATTTTTTCAATTTGCACTTTTTAAAATTTTTCGATTTTAGAGCTTTCGATTTTTCCGTGTTA